GCTCTATTCATCTGCCAGCTCGCTCTATTCATCTGCCAGCTCGCTCTATTCATCTGCCAGCTCGCTCTATTCATCTGCCAGCTCGCTCTATTCATCTGCCAGCTCGCTCTATTCATCTGCCAGCTCGCTCTATTCATCTGCCAGCTCGCTCTATTCATCTGCCAGCTCGCTCTATTCATCTGCCAGCTCGCTCTATTCATCTGCCAGCTCGCTCTATTCATCTGCCAGCTCGCTCTATTCATCTGCCAGCTCGCTCTATTCATCTGCCAGCTCGCTCTATTCATCTGCCAGCTCGCTCTATTCATCTGCCAGCTCGCTCTATTCATCTGCCAGCTCGCTCTATTCATCTGCCAGCTCGCTCTATTCATCTGCCAGCTCGCTCTATTCATCTGCCAGCTCGCTCTATTCATCTGCCAGCTCGCTCTATTCATCTGCCAGCTCGCTCTATTCATCTGCCAGCTCGCTCTATTCATCTGCCAGCTCGCTCTATTCATCTGCCAGCTCGCTCTATTCATCTGCCAGCTCGCTCTATTCATCTGCCAGCTCGCTCTATTCATCTGCCAGCTCGCTCTATTCATCTGCCAGCTCGCTCTATTCATCTGCCAGCTCGCTCTATTCATCTGCCAGCTCGCTCTATTCATCTGCCAGCTCGCTCTATTCATCTGCCAGCTCGCTCTATTCATCTGCCAGCTCGCTCTATTCATCTGCCAGCTCGCTCTATTCATCTGCCAGCTCGCTCTATTCATCTGCCAGCTCGCTCTATTCATCTGCCAGCTCGCTCTATTCATCTGCCAGCTCGCTCTATTCATCTGCCAGCTCGCTCTATTCATCTGCCAGCTCGCTCTATTCATCTGCCAGCTCGCTCTATTCATCTGCCAGCTCGCTCTATTCATCTGCCAGCTCGCTCTATTCATCTGCCAGCTCGCTCTATTCATCTGCCAGCTCGCTCTATTCATCTGCCAGCTCGCTCTATTCATCTGCCAGCTCGCTCTATTCATCTGCCAGCTCGCTCTATTCATCTGCCAGCTCGCTCTATTCATCTGCCAGCTCGCTCTATTCATCTGCCAGCTCGCTCTATTCATCTGCCAGCTCGCTCTATTCATCTGCCAGCTCGCTCTATTCATCTGCCAGCTCGCTCTATTCATCTGCCAGCTCGCTCTATTCATCTGCCAGCTCGCTCTATTCATCTGCCAGCTCGCTCTATTCATCTGCCAGCTCGCTCTATTCATCTGCCAGCTCGCTCTATTCATCTGCCAGCTCGCTCTATTCATCTGCCAGCTCGCTCTATTCATCTGCCAGCTCGCTCTATTCATCTGCCAGCTCGCTCTATTCATCTGCCAGCTCGCTCTATTCATCTGCCAGCTCGCTCTATTCATCTGCCAGCTCGCTCTATTCATCTGCCAGCTCGCTCTATTCATCTGCCAGCTCGCTCTATTCATCTGCCAGCTCGCTCTATTCATCTGCCAGCTCGCTCTATTCATCTGCCAGCTCGCTCTATTCATCTGCCAGCTCGCTCTATTCATCTGCCAGCTCGCTCTATTCATCTGCCAGCTCGCTCTATTCATCTGCCAGCTCGCTCTATTCATCTGCCAGCTCGCTCTATTCATCTGCCAGCTCGCTCTATTCATCTGCCAGCTCGCTCTATTCATCTGCCAGCTCGCTCTATTCATCTGCCAGCTCGCTCTATTCATCTGCCAGCTCGCTCTATTCATCTGCCAGCTCGCTCTATTCATCTGCCAGCTCGCTCTATTCATCTGCCAGCTCGCTCTATTCATCTGCCAGCTCGCTCTATTCATCTGCCAGCTCGCTCTATTCATCTGCCAGCTCGCTCTATTCATCTGCCAGCTCGCTCTATTCATCTGCCAGCTCGCTCTATTCATCTGCCAGCTCGCTCTATTCATCTGCCAGCTCGCTCTATTCATCTGCCAGCTCGCTCTATTCATCTGCCAGCTCGCTCTATTCATCTGCCAGCTCGCTCTATTCATCTGCCAGCTCGCTCTATTCATCTGCCAGCTCGCTCTATTCATCTGCCAGCTCGCTCTATTCATCTGCCAGCTCGCTCTATTCATCTGCCAGCTCGCTCTATTCATCTGCCAGCTCGCTCTATTCATCTGCCAGCTCGCTCTATTCATCTGCCAGCTCGCTCTATTCATCTGCCAGCTCGCTCTATTCATCTGCCAGCTCGCTCTATTCATCTGCCAGCTCGCTCTATTCATCTGCCAGCTCGCTCTATTCATCTGCCAGCTCGCTCTATTCATCTGCCAGCTCGCTCTATTCATCTGCCAGCTCGCTCTATTCATCTGCCAGCTCGCTCTATTCATCTGCCAGCTCGCTCTATTCATCTGCCAGCTCGCTCTATTCATCTGCCAGCTCGCTCTATTCATCTGCCAGCTCGCTCTATTCATCTGCCAGCTCGCTCTATTCATCTGCCAGCTCGCTCTATTCATCTGCCAGCTCGCTCTATTCATCTGCCAGCTCGCTCTATTCATCTGCCAGCTCGCTCTATTCATCTGCCAGCTCGCTCTATTCATCTGCCAGCTCGCTCTATTCATCTGCCAGCTCGCTCTATTCATCTGCCAGCTCGCTCTATTCATCTGCCAGCTCGCTCTATTCATCTGCCAGCTCGCTCTATTCATCTGCCAGCTCGCTCTATTCATCTGCCAGCTCGCTCTATTCATCTGCCAGCTCGCTCTATTCATCTGCCAGCTCGCTCTATTCATCTGCCAGCTCGCTCTATTCATCTGCCAGCTCGCTCTATTCATCTGCCAGCTCGCTCTATTCATCTGCCAGCTCGCTCTATTCATCTGCCAGCTCGCTCTATTCATCTGCCAGCTCGCTCTATTCATCTGCCAGCTCGCTCTATTCATCTGCCAGCTCGCTCTATTCATCTGCCAGCTCGCTCTATTCATCTGCCAGCTCGCTCTATTCATCTGCCAGCTCGCTCTATTCATCTGCCAGCTCGCTCTATTCATCTGCCAGCTCGCTCTATTCATCTGCCAGCTCGCTCTATTCATCTGCCAGCTCGCTCTATTCATCTGCCAGCTCGCTCTATTCATCTGCCAGCTCGCTCTATTCATCTGCCAGCTCGCTCTATTCATCTGCCAGCTCGCTCTATTCATCTGCCAGCTCGCTCTATTCATCTGCCAGCTCGCTCTATTCATCTGCCAGCTCGCTCTATTCATCTGCCAGCTCGCTCTATTCATCTGCCAGCTCGCTCTATTCATCTGCCAGCTCGCTCTATTCATCTGCCAGCTCGCTCTATTCATCTGCCAGCTCGCTCTATTCATCTGCCAGCTCGCTCTATTCATCTGCCAGCTCGCTCTATTCATCTGCCAGCTCGCTCTATTCATCTGCCAGCTCGCTCTATTCATCTGCCAGCTCGCTCTATTCATCTGCCAGCTCGCTCTATTCATCTGCCAGCTCGCTCTATTCATCTGCCAGCTCGCTCTATTCATCTGCCAGCTCGCTCTATTCATCTGCCAGCTCGCTCTATTCATCTGCCAGCTCGCTCTATTCATCTGCCAGCTCGCTCTATTCATCTGCCAGCTCGCTCTATTCATCTGCCAGCTCGCTCTATTCATCTGCCAGCTCGCTCTATTCATCTGCCAGCTCGCTCTATTCATCTGCCAGCTCGCTCTATTCATCTGCCAGCTCGCTCTATTCATCTGCCAGCTCGCTCTATTCATCTGCCAGCTCGCTCTATTCATCTGCCAGCTCGCTCTATTCATCTGCCAGCTCGCTCTATTCATCTGCCAGCTCGCTCTATTCATCTGCCAGCTCGCTCTATTCATCTGCCAGCTCGCTCTATTCATCTGCCAGCTCGCTCTATTCATCTGCCAGCTCGCTCTATTCATCTGCCAGCTCGCTCTATTCATCTGCCAGCTCGCTCTATTCATCTGCCAGCTCGCTCTATTCATCTGCCAGCTCGCTCTATTCATCTGCCAGCTCGCTCTATTCATCTGCCAGCTCGCTCTATTCATCTGCCAGCTCGCTCTATTCATCTGCCAGCTCGCTCTATTCATCTGCCAGCTCGCTCTATTCATCTGCCAGCTCGCTCTATTCATCTGCCAGCTCGCTCTATTCATCTGCCAGCTCGCTCTATTCATCTGCCAGCTCGCTCTATTCATCTGCCAGCTCGCTCTATTCATCTGCCAGCTCGCTCTATTCATCTGCCAGCTCGCTCTATTCATCTGCCAGCTCGCTCTATTCATCTGCCAGCTCGCTCTATTCATCTGCCAGCTCGCTCTATTCATCTGCCAGCTCGCTCTATTCATCTGCCAGCTCGCTCTATTCATCTGCCAGCTCGCTCTATTCATCTGCCAGCTCGCTCTATTCATCTGCCAGCTCGCTCTATTCATCTGCCAGCTCGCTCTATTCATCTGCCAGCTCGCTCTATTCATCTGCCAGCTCGCTCTATTCATCTGCCAGCTCGCTCTATTCATCTGCCAGCTCGCTCTATTCATCTGCCAGCTCGCTCTATTCATCTGCCAGCTCGCTCTATTCATCTGCCAGCTCGCTCTATTCATCTGCCAGCTCGCTCTATTCATCTGCCAGCTCGCTCTATTCATCTGCCAGCTCGCTCTATTCATCTGCCAGCTCGCTCTATTCATCTGCCAGCTCGCTCTATTCATCTGCCAGCTCGCTCTATTCATCTGCCAGCTCGCTCTATTCATCTGCCAGCTCGCTCTATTCATCTGCCAGCTCGCTCTATTCATCTGCCAGCTCGCTCTATTCATCTGCCAGCTCGCTCTATTCATCTGCCAGCTCGCTCTATTCATCTGCCAGCTCGCTCTATTCATCTGCCAGCTCGCTCTATTCATCTGCCAGCTCGCTCTATTCATCTGCCAGCTCGCTCTATTCATCTGCCAGCTCGCTCTATTCATCTGCCAGCTCGCTCTATTCATCTGCCAGCTCGCTCTATTCATCTGCCAGCTCACCCATTTCATCTGCCAGCTCACCCATTTCATCTGCCAGCTCACCCATTTCATCTGGCAGCTCACCCATTTCATCTGCGAGCACGCATCCGGAGCAGCCGGGCGTGCGCACCTCCAGCACGGCCTCGAGCATGAAGCGCACCCCCTCCACCTGGTGGGGCCGCATCCTCGCCCCGATGTACTGCCATGGAAAGGGGGTTGCAGGGGAGAGAACAGACAAGGGTGGGCGCGCATCCTCGCCCCGATGTACTGCCATGGAAAGGGGGGTTGCAGGGGAGAGAACAGACAAGGGTGGGCGCGCATCCTCGCCCCGATGTACTGCCATGGAAAGGGGGGTTGCAGGGGAGAGAACAGACAAGGGTGGGCGCGCATCCTCGCCCCGATGTACTGCCATGGAAAGGGGGGTTGCAGGGGAGAGAACAGACAAGGGTGGGCGCATCCTCGCCCCGATGTACTGCCACCCACGCGAGGGCCAGGGGGGAGGGGGTGGGGTCGGAAGAGAGAGGTGCACCTGAGTTAAAGACCCACAAATATGGATTGCCAGGTGGGTGTTGTTGAATTGTCGTATCAAGAAGGGAAAATACTGGGGAGAGGTAGAGCACAAGTGCTTTTGATGAGATGAGTATGAGAACGAGACATGAGTAGCAGGAGAACAGCTGACTGCAGTCGTTACTGAACCTCTAGGCACGGCGCAGTGCATTGAAGCAGAGTGAACTGAAATGCCATAACCTGACATGAACGTTGATTCAACCATGGGCAGCACGAGCCTACAGGGCGGAGAAGGGCGTACAGGGTCAAGGTAGATCTTGGAGATTCCCTTGCCGTGCTGGTTGGGGTTGAGACACACGGCATCCTGTAGCCACGACATCACACGACAGGACACGAGCAGGACGGCTGCATTTGAGACAGCCCCGCACAGGAAAGTTATGCGAGAATGCATTGGAAAGATGGGAGCTGCAACTCATAGTAGTTTATGGGTCCCTTTGCCACGTCATACGTCCTCGCCACATGATACACCACTGCCACATCATGACCCATTGCCACACGGTGGTCCGTTCTGTTCCACCATCCCTTCCTGCACGGCCATACCTCGTTGCCAAGCCTCATGCGACTCTCCATGCTCGCAGCTCTCCTGTGGAGGCGGCACGAGGGCAGGGAGAAAGAGCAGGGCACACGAAAGTTTCAGCGCACTGCCCGCTACAGCAGCCCATCGACTTGCACACGTGCAGGGGTGAAAGTGGAAAGGCGGACGGGTGGTAACGAATATGACGCCTGGCAGACGCGTGTGCTGCAGATCATGACAGCGTAAATGCGAGTGAAGCACCTCGTCAACATCTAGAAGGATAAATCTCACACGCAGCATCAAAGACTCCCAGCCCTCACATGCCCTCCCCTCGCTGGTGCGCGTGTGTGCACCACATTCCATTCCTCCACGTCACCTCGTCTGATCTAGTCCCCCAATGGCCCCTCCGCACCACACTCACTTGTTCGCCAGCACCCCTTCCGCACTGCTGCCAGCCGCCCTGCCTCCGCTGCTCTCACCCACTCGCTTCCTGCCCCTGCCAGCAGCAGCACTGCCCACTCGCCCGTGGCAGCGGCGGATGTCACAGCGGCAGCGGCAGCAGCAGCGGCGGCGGCGGGGATGAAGAATGAGCCGGCGAGGTACTGCTCGCGCGGCACCTCGTGCATCACCTCCACCTCCCACTTGCCCACCTGATGGGGGGCGAACAGGAACGGGGGGGTTGGAGATAGGAGAGAGAGGGCGAGAGACAGCAAGGATGGCATGGACGCGGAGAGGATCAAGTGTGGAGAGGAAAGGAGAGGAGAGGAGAGGAGATACAAGTGGAAGAAGCATGGCTTGCATGGGGAGAAAAAGGGTATGCCATACGGGTCGCGGTACCGTGTAAAACGACAGTGCTCAAGGCGCCTGCAGCGTGAACGGGCGCGTCTGGTACTTAATCGAGTGAGAGAACTGCCACGCTCTTAACACCAACGTACAAACCACCCGTTCTTAACCATCCCACCAACATCGCCGCAGAAATCCCTCACCACCACGCTCCCTCCGGACAGCAGATCGGCTCCAGAAGTGGGTGCATGCGTGCGTGCGTGCGGCGTGCTCGAGTACCTCGAGCGTGGAGCCGTCTTTGAGGTGCGCGCAGCCGCTGACGGAAGCTTTCGCGACGGGCTTGGCGTCCATGTTCTGCACGGCGCACGCGCGCCCCTTCACGCTCAGCAGCCCGTCCGACCACGGCCCCTTGCGCTTCGCGTGCGGCTTGCGCGGGCAGTACATCACGCTGTAGTACCGCGTCTCGTCCGCCGCCGCCGAAGCCTCCGCCGCCGCCGCACCCTGCGCGCTGTTCGCGTTACACGTCACTGCAGCGGCCGCCTTGGGAGCATTGAATCGCGCGCGGGGATTCGCGGTGGAGCCGGGAGCGGGGTGCAGCGGCGGCTGTCGCGGCGGCACGGGAGCAGCCGTGTTGAGGGGGTGCAGTGACTTGAAGGGCTTCCGCTTCAAGGGAGCAGCCACGCGGCTTTGCATCTCCGATCCCGCGGCATCGTCGTCGCTTCCCATGGCGATACTACGGCGGGAATGCAACCGACCTGCTCTGATCAAACCACGAGAAGCGCGGTGAGAGGCTTCCCACTGGCCGCTGATGCTTGGCACGGGAAACGCGATCGGTGCTCGTGGCAACGAATGACGGGAATGCGTGCTGGTCTACGCTGAATCACAACTTGGAGTGACGTGCTGCCTGGTGGGCGACCTCGAGAGTGCCAACGCTGCCCCGCACTCCCAGCCAGGGAGCAGACAAGGCACCCTTTGCGGCCATTTCCTAAGCTCCTCGGGAACTGCATGTCGAACATTTCAAGAGGCCAAATGCTCCGTGGCGCCTTGCGAACAGCCTAGATAAGCTCTGGGGATCCAGAAACCAAGCAAATGGCGGGAAAGGCGCCAGACGTCTGACGCTTGAACCCGGAAAACACCAACCTCGATTTCTGTCTCACGGACAAAAAATAAAGCAAAATTTTCTTCGAGTCTGTTATGAATGAACTTGCAGAGTGCGCAGTAAAACGAATATCGAGAATGAATGACTACTGAATGACGATACAATGAAATGACGGGGATTTATAAGGGAACCCTAGCTAGGCGAAGGGTTCGGGCTAGGATGGCTCGGAAAGTGTTGCGATTGGAGCGGTGGCGACTCGGAAGTGGTTCGGGGCGGAAATGTAGGCCGAACCGGGCTGACGCGTGGTGTTCGGATTGTACTCGCTAAAATGCGAGCACAGTAAGGAATTTTTAATTCCTTACAGAGTCACTGTAAGGAATATTTCTAGATTCCTTGAAAAACAAACAAAACCAAATTGCGTAAAATGTACATATTTCTTAAAGTCCACAGAATTCCGTGCACGACCACCACATGTAAAAACATTAGCACGGTTTTGATTTGACCAACCAAGGGCGGCCTCGAATTTCCTCTAGATAAGCTGCATATATTCAAGGCCCCTACCAACCCTAGAATATGATAGACTACCTATGTATATGTTCAACACTTGGGTACAATTAGCAGTGATGTTTCAACAGTCGTTGAAGGGTGGTCAATCAATCCAACACATCTCAAGCACTCAGGTCAGTCAGACCATGAAGCAATGATCTAGCATGGCAAGTACCGTACCGCGAAAGACAGGTTCTGCGTGGGAGCCTTCAGTTCAGTGGAGCATGAGGCGCATTCTGGCAGACCTGACGAGTGGGAGGTAGTCAACCCACCACCACTCTGTCACCCTCCCCACGTCAGTCAGCAAGGGCTCTTTCAGCTTGGGCAGCCAACGGAGAGACCCGGGCAGAGAGTTCAGCTCCGGCAGATAGCAAAGCTCCAACGTTTCAAGGTTTTTCAGCTGCCCGAGCGACTCGGGCAGCACGGATAACTGTTTCAAGTTTTCGAGCTTCAGGAATCTGAGGTTTTCCAGGCGTCCGAGGGATTCTGGCAGGGTGGAGAGGCCGTGCATGTGGGTGAGGGTGAGGGAAGAGAGGGCAGAGAGCGTGGAGAAGGAATCAGGGAGAGAGGAGAATTGTGAACAACCCCGCAGAGATAGGCTGGTGAGAGACGCCAGCCCACAGGGCTGCTGTGCGCTGCGCTGCTCCTTGCTGTGCTGTGGCTGTGGCTGTGGCTGTGGCTGTGGCTGTGGCTGTGGCTGGGTGGACTTATCGGTACGAGTGCAAGCAGTGGTGGGGCCAGCAGCAGTGGGGCCAGCAGCAGTGGCTGTAGGAACGACAGTTGCAGAAGCAGGAGCAGGGTCAGGAGGAGCGGCAGGATAAGCGGATGGAGCAGAAGCAAGGGAGCAGGTGACGGGTGATGCGGGATGCGGAGCAAGCAGAGGCTCTAGGGACTCGAGGCGAGGGCAGCCGGTGATTTCGAGCTCTTCCAGGCGCGTCAGCATGGCGAGCTGGGCAGGCAGCCGCCTCAGCTCACTGCAGTCGCGCAGGTAAAGCCGCTCCAGGCTGTGCCTCACCCTCCCCGTGCACAGGCTTTCCGGCAGCTGCAGCACACCCACCTGCTGGATCTTCAACGACCCCAATCGCTGTAGATCGCCCACGCTCTCGGGCAGCGCACTGAGGTTGCGCAGCCCCACGAGCACTAGGGCCTCAAGCTGTAGCAGGGCTCCGAGATCATGGGGAAGAGAGGTGAGTGCGGGGCACGCGTGGATGGAGAGGGAGGAGAGGGGGAGGGAGCAGATGGTGGCTGGCAGGTTCTGGAGGGACCCCCCGCTAAGGGAAAGCGCCTCCAATCGCACCATGCCCCCCATCACATGCTCAGGCAAGCGCGCCAAACACTTGGACTGCAGCGACAAGGAGCGTAGGCTGGTAAGATGCTGAAAGGAATCCGGGATGAACGGCACACCCATCACAATGTCTAGGGTTTGCAAATGCGGTAAGTGACCAATCGAGCTGGGGAGGTTCGCGAGGCTGCTGGTGGAATCCGGGTGATCTTCTAACGGCGACAGGCCGGTATTCAAGCGAATTTCCCGTAGCTGCTGCAGCGCGCCGATGCTTTGGGTTGGCAAGAGCAGATTTTCAAAGTGATCGTCGCCGACGCGGCGGGAGAGATGGAGGGTTGTGAGGTCGGAGAGGAGAGAGACGGCGGGCGGGAGGTGCGGGAGGTAGTTGAGGGTGAGCAGGCGGAGGTCGCGGAGCTTGCGACAGCCGTGGAAGAGAGACGAGAGGCCGCTGCTAGTGACGTGCATGAGAGCCTGGTAGTGGACGGTCAGATGTGTCAAATGTGGACACGTGGCGCCCACGCATTGGAAGAAAGCATCGCCGTTCGGATTCGAAACGCGACAATACCGAAGCTCGAGGTGCGTGAGCGAGGAGAAGCTGCGAATCGTGTCTTGGAGAACGGAGAATTGGATCTTAAATTTGATTGTGAGGTGCGTGAACGAGCGCCGCGCTACGGCGTACCATCGCTTCGATACAAGCGCGTAATGGAAGGAGTCGCGCGTTAGCGAGCGCAGCACGAGCGAGAGAAGGTGATCGTCGGATAGGACCTCCGCGATCGGCGAGGGAGAAGGCGAAGGGGTCCATAAGGTGGGGAAGATGGGCGACGGCACGGTAAGGTTCATAGTGTCAGAAGTGGTTCGCCGCTGCACCAACTTTAGGGCATGAAATCGACTAAAGTAGTATCATGGGAGAGTGGGAATAGGCTTGATGGTGGGTGGAAACGAGCTCCATTGGGAGATTGCATCACACCGTTCCGTGAGGAGTGTCGCCAATTTCAGGACGCGGTAGAGTGGTAATTATCGAGGATCCTGTCAGAATATCGACTCGCACAATCGATTCGAGGGGGTCGTTCGCTGAAACGATGCGATTCCTTAAATGTTACAAGCTTTTTGACACCCAAGATTTCGTACAAGCACTTCTGCAATCAACCTTGCGAATCGACATTCCAGTGCTAGAAGTTCTGCACGAAATTTCATCGTGAAAACAATTCATGCTATTCGCAAGCATGGGGGTCGTCCTTGGCACGCCCAGCAGGTGCTCATTTGCGCAGCTACACTACCGCGATCGCTCGTCACGATTTGACGATCCGTCCGTCGCCTTCGGGATATTGTAGATGCATAGTGCTCATCCTTGACAGAACAGACATTGTATCAAAGTAACAAAATGGTAACCCGAGTAACCAGTTTGCAAGTCGATCCTAACAGACGAGAGGTCCTCTACTTTCAACGCGTCCGAGGTTGTAGAAAGTGGTGCGAAATGCTGGGCTAGGAAACACAATTTGCGTGAAATCTGTTTTTGTGTTCGAGATTGCTCGAGTTCCGCTGGGGGTCGAGTGAAGTGTTGACACGTCAGCAGGGTTCGGATAGAGGTTGTTACAATAACCATTTCGTAATATTCCACTATTTGTACCAGGGTGTATATAGTTTTACTCTTGTTGAAGTTACAAAAGATACATAAGTGCATAGCAAGTTTCATATTACGTACATTATGGGGATCGCTCCTAGGATCTCCTCAAAAAGGTTCTCACACGACTAGGCAGTGAAGTTGGTGGGCCCTTGACCTCAATAGCAGAGTGAATGTAAAATGCTTGAGATGATAAAAACATGCAAATACAAGAATACAAATATGAGTACAGGGGAATTCGAATCGACCTAGCTAGCCATGTACTCTAAGGGGTACATTCCCTTATTCAAATTCATTCCCAACTGAGCGGCACGTACAGTTACGAAACTGTTTCCGCCGAATTCCTCTTGCATGCAGCTGCCCGATGTCGTCTGCTCCGACAGTCCAGATCCATCCCGATTCCCAACCGTCTGACGCTTCGAGTCAATTCTGACAACTCGCATTAGTTCTCGATACTGCGTGCTTCCTTAGCTGCGGTTAGGAGTGCACAGTAATGTTTCATTCATTACTATTCGTAACACCCCCCTTCACTCCTGGCCGTAGCTCGACTTGACCTGCTTGACCACTCCGCTATGTTCGGAGCAGTGCTGGTACTGCTGGCGTGGCAGACGCTTCGTAAAAAAGTCTGCTGCCATGTCACCGGTCGGGCAATAGGTCAAGTCAACCTTGCCTTTGTCCACTTCGTCCTTGACGAATAAGTACCGTAGCGCAATGTGCTTCGTGCGGTTCACGAAGCCAGGTTTGTTTGCGATGCGGATCGCGCTTTGGTTGTCGCAGTGCAGGCGAAAGGTGGGTGATGCTGGAATTTTTGCCTCTTGCAGAAGTTCCTGCAAGTAGAGGCGTTCGCGAACTGCTGCAGCCGCTTCGATGAATTCTGCTTCGGCTGACGACGGAGCAACCAGCTCCTGTTTCTGCGAGTTCCAGGAGATTGGTCCCGTTGGCTCGAGTCGGAACAGGAAGCCAGTCCTGGACCGTCGATTGTCGGGATCAGCTGCGTGATTGGCGTTCACGTAGCCGATGAGGTTGAAAGATGGGGTCGGCACAGTTGAGTAGCAGAGTCCAATCTTGGGCGTTAAAACGAAAAACTGTAAGGCGCGCTGCAGGTCCAGAAAGTTCTCAGCCGTTGGTTTGCTAGAGTACTGGGCCAAATGACTTGCGATGTAGGAGAGGTCGGGCCTGCATGTGACAGAGGCGAAGAGCAGGCATCCCAACTGCTGCTGATAAGACTGAATGCCAGCGGGGGATAGGGCTTTGTTGTCAGGTTTGTGATTCGGTCCGGGAGTTCGGTAGGGAGTGGAGAGCGGAGTAGGTGAAATGTTGAACCGCTTCCCTAACTCCTCTGCATACTTAGCCGCTGAGAGGTGGATAGCTTCTGGCGCGTAGGAGATGTTGAGGCCTAAGAACTGCTTCACTCCGTAGTTGCAGGTGTTATCGACGTGCCCCGCCAGACTCTTTTCGAACTGCTCCAGTAGTTCGTTGTTCGACCCCGTGTAGAGAAGGTCGTCGACGTAGGCTGTGAGCAGGATGCATTCCCCCCAAAAATCGCGGCGGTACATCCCAGGATCATGAGGCACCTGCTTGAACCCGATTTCAAGCAGGATGTTGTGCAGATACTGCTGCCAGAGCCTTGGTGCCTGCTTGTTCCCGTAAAGGGACTTGCGCTGCTGGCATACGCGTGAATCCCCTTCACCGTACGTATGAGGCTGCTCCACGTAAATCACAACATCCACGAACGCATACAAGAACGCGTTTTTCACGTCAATTTGGCGCAGAGGCAGGTGTATGGCAGCTGCGATGGCGAGCAGGATTCGGACCGACGTGTGGCGACTAATTGGCGCGAATGTCTGATCGAAACCGATGCCGTGCCTCTGGTCGTATCCACGCACCACCCATCGTGCCTTGAAGCGCTCGATCGTTCCGTCTGCTGCGGTCTTCACGCGGAAGACCCACTTCCCCGAGAGAACCCTCGCGCCTTTAATCGCTGCGTGGTCGACTAACACCCAGGTGTTTCAGGATTCGAGCGCCTTGATCTCCGCGTCCATTGCCTCGCGCCACTCCTTGCTGTGTGGTCCAGTGAGAGCTTGGCGCGGGTTTCGTGGCTCGATGACACGTGGCGCTTTTGAGGTTGCGGTGTGTAGCCCAAGCAGTTGCAGCCCCGAGACGGTGCTGTCGTGGCGATGTTGCGGGACGACTTCCTGCACGTCGTCGCCATCGCTCTCTGGCTCTGGTGGGGCTGGTGGCGCTGCGCCGCTGCCGGTTCCGCCCGTTCCGCCCATTCATCCTCCAGAGGAATCGTCGTCATCGTCGTCGCTACTGCGACGATCTCCCCATGTGAACTCGCCCCTGGTGTCTTGTTCCAGGATTGCTGCAGCAGCTTCGTCCTCGGGCGTCGCGAAGCTATGACCGTCATTTGCGTAAACGCGGTTCGCGTTGGTCTCCTCATTATGGCGGAACTGCTCGAGGAAGAGGCGCTCGTAGAAGATGACGTCACGCGCGTGGGCGGTCTTCTGACTGAGAAGATCCAGGATAATCCACCTCTTGTGCTCGTGGCTGATGCCGAGGTGGATGCCCCATCGAGCGTGGCTGGCGAATTTGCCGATGGTTGACGTCGGCGGGCGGTACTGCACCATGCATCCCCACACGCGGAGCATGGATGTGCCCCCTTAGTCCCGGTCAACTTCACGTGCAGGGACAGGTTGCCGGTGATGGTGATGGTTGACAGCAGGTTGTGCACCCGCACGGCGTGGTGCATCGCGTAGGTCCAATAGATCGGCCTACTTCATCAGCACCCGCATCTTCGTCATAAGCGTGCGGTTCGTCCGCCCTGCTGCTGGTGCGCGTAGGGGAGAGAAACGCGGTGCTCGATCCCCTATTGCGCCAGGTAATCCTGCATCTCCTTGCTCCTGAATTTTGCTGTGCCGTCAGATTGCCAGATTTTTAGCTTCGCCTCGATCAGACTGCCGCTGCGCGTGCGCCAGCCAGAGGCGGAATACCTCATATGCTTTGCTGCGCGACTCCACATTCACGACCCACACATAGCGCGTTCCGGCATCGATGAAGGTGAGCGTGTACATTTCGTCGTCGACTCCGCAATGTCCCACATTCATGAAGTCGCTGTACACCTTGTGTCAAACATTGTATGTTTATATTGTGTAGGCTATAGTGGGTTTAGCCTTAGAGGGTACACAAACTTAGGGTTTCATACTTGTACCCACCTTCCTGCTAGTTCATCCATTCTCGTTCTATTCTAGATTCTGACATGGTATCAGAAGCCTAGGTTGCTACCTAGGACCGCTTTCTACAATGGGCCCACTATTCCGCTAGGCGCGCCCTCGTGCGCCCTACCAATACGTGCGCCCTCGTGCGCTCTACCTTACGTGCGCCCTCGTGCGCCCTCGTGCGCCTTTCTCTGCTAGTGCGCCTTCGTGCGCCCTCGTGCGCCCTCGTGCGCCCTCGTGCGCCCTCGTGCGCCCTCGTGCGCCCTCGTACGCCCTCGTGCGCCCTCGTGCGCTCTCGAGCTGCCCCTGCAGGTCCGTCAGGCCCCCGAGCCGCCGCTGCAGGCCCGTCAGGCCCGAGAGCCGCCCCTGCACACCCGTCAGGCCCGCGCGCAGCCTCTGCACGACCGCGCGCCGCCCCTGCAGGCTCTCGCCGCCCGCCGCGTCGCCCTGCCCGTGGCGTCGCCGCCTCCCCGCGGCGTCGTTGCCTGCCCGCGACGTAGCCCCTGTCCGCGGCGTCGTCGCCTGCCCGCGGCGTCGTCGCCTGCCCGCGGTGTCGCCGCCTACCCGCGGCGTCATCGCCTACTCGCGGCGTCGTCGCCTGCCCGCGGCGTCGTCGCCTGCCCGCGGCGTCGTCGCCTGCCCGCGGCGTCGTCGCCTGCCCGCGGCGTCGTCCCCTGCCCGCGGCGTCGGCGCCTGCCCGCGGCGTCGTCGCCTACCCGCGGCGTCGCCACCTGCTAGCGGCGTCGCCCTACTCGCGGCGTCGCCACCTGCCCGCCGCGTCGCCCTGCCCGCGGCGTCGCCACCTGCCCGCCGCGTCGCCCTGCCCGCACCGTCGCCACCTGCCCGCCGCGTCGCCCTGACCTAATCCGCCTCTCGCCCCTGGAGCAGCCGCCACTGCAGCAGCAGCCCCTGGAGCAGCCGCCACTGCAGCAGCAGCCCCTGGAGCCGCCCGCCACTGCAGCAGCAGCCCCTGGAGCCGCTCGCCACTGCAGCAGCCGCCC